GGTCAGAGAGACAAATAAGGAAAAGGAAGAACTAAATACCACAGTACTTCATCATTGGCTAGGCTGATTTTACATGTAATTATAGCCAATTCATGGCTATATACAGTTGTAAACGAAACCAGATCCTGATTTCAAATGGCCAATACCTACTACCAGTATATATAAGCCCAGCTTCTCTGCTGTAACCTGGTAAGCACACTGAACCACAGATAAAGTGGGGGTGAATATGTTGCTGGATCCATAGGACCAACCCATTCCAGCTCCTGGATTTTCTCTTTATTTGGTAGAAGGCTTAAGAATCTAGGTTAGTCTTACTTTATGAATGAGTAACTCTGAAGTAGAAAAAAGTCTGCAGATAATTACTTCTCCATGCCATAACAGAAGAAAGACAAGGAGACAGTTCAAGATTTCAGAGGCCAGAGGACTTTTCTGGCTAACTTTATTTTTCTAGGTCAACAAACTCTACTAAATACCTGTAATGTACCAGCCCAAGTCCCTTCCTTCCTCAAACCACTGTCCACATTTTCAAGTCCTATTTTAATGCCACCATTATCTGGGTGCTTTGATATAACCAACTTACATGACTAAAAACTCCAAAAAGGACTATCTGTAAATTCTCAATGGTAGCTGTAATTTTTATACCAACGACAAAATAATAAACAGCAGCTAATCCTGAAGGAAGACTTACTATATGTGAAGCACCTACTATGCACATAATCTAACCCTCACAACAATCCTATAAGCCAGGTGGACTTTTAGCATCCCTATTCTGCAAATGAGAAAAATGAGGCCCAAAGAGGTTAAGTAACTTGCCCAAATTTACACAGTAAGTGTTGATAACTACCTTTTATTCAACACCCACTGTTATGGGGGCTAGTCCTGTGAGGGACTTTAAGAACAGTTTCTACAACTTTCCCAAAACTTTGCACAGTATGATTATTCCTCCCTTATAGATAATGAAATGAAGGTCCAGAAAGGCTAAATTGCTGTTTGGCCTTGAGTAAGTGGCAGAACTGGTCTTCAATCTAGTTATCTGGAGCCAAAGTCAGTGTTGCTCCCACTATACCAATTGTGCCCAGACTTGCAGATTTCATGGACCAGTATTATTTCCAAACAAATTGGGGGGAGATACATAAAATTGCCAATTACATATTTGGCCAGGTATAGATGTTCAAAAAAACAACACCCATATTAACTACTTTTAATATCCTGATGAAAGGTATGAAGATTTTTTTCTTTTTTGGTCAGAGTCTCACTCTGTCACACAGGCTGGAGTGCAGTGGCACGCTCACGACCACCCCAGCATCAACCTGCTGGGCTCAGGCAATCCTTCCGCCTCAGCCTTCCAAGTAGCCGGAACTACAGGCGTGTGCTACCATGCCCAGCTAATTTTTTGATTTATTGTAGAGACGAGTTCTCACCAAGTTGCCCAGGCTGGTCTCGAACCCCTGGACTGAGACAATCCTCTCACCTCAGCCTCCCAAAGTGCTGGGATTACTGGTTTGAACCACTGTACCCGGCCAGTAAGGAGATTTTAACACCAAAAACTAGAAAGAATCATGTAACAGGCTATTAATCAGACATAAGCACTGACATAAGCATTATTGTCTCATTTTTCTCATGTTACCAAGAACCAGTGAAGACTGTCATGGACAATGTGTGAGAACCACTTTACCTCCACTGCAGCCCCCAGGAATACCTCTAAAATCTATTCAGTTAGCCTTTCCACACCAACATTCATTGGAGTTTGTTATATAGTGATTACCATGTCTACTTATGTACCTACCTATCTACCTACCTACGTGTCTCCCTCCCAAAAAAGTACAAGAGTTAGAAAAAGTTAAGGATTTTTTTTAAAAGGCTTTCTCCCAAGACATCAAAATAACTTTTGACATTAAACCCCTTTGCAAAGAGAGTTTCTTTGTTCTCTTTAAAGAAGTAAAGGTGCTGCCTTTGAAAAGTCAACAAAAAGGCAGGCTTCATGTAAAGCCAATTCTAAGAATATCTTTAGTATTATCTGAAATTTCACAGGCAACCTCCCATGGCATATACCTTTTCTCAGCTGGTGAAGCAATTGCAATTCCTATCTCAAAGAAGCATTGTGAATAGAAGTTAATGTCTTTCGGCAATTTTAAACTCTCTGGCTGCAAGACTTAGGCTTATTAATTGCAAACTAGCAGATTCAGAAGAACAGACCTTTCATTTTAATTTCACATTTATTCTTGCTATGAATACTTTTTCGGAAAAGAGCATATCATATCCCTTAACTCCATGAATTTAATTGCTTGTAAGCATGGTCATAGGACTTATCTTTCTGGCAATTCCTAGTGTTCTTTGGAAAACTTCACAAATGTAGAGAGGCATAAATTATTAAGTATCATAAACTCTCAACTACCTAGCACAGTAAGGAAATGTGGTATTCAAACATTCACATTAAAAAGTCACCCAACATTAATTACGCCTCAAAAAAAGGATTAAAAAGTCACTCCATTGGTGATTTATGGACAAAAATTTTTCTAAGAGTTACAACATCATAAAGTATACCTAATAAACCACAACGAACACTGTTTAATCTTTTTGATGGTTAAGAAGGTTATTGAGGATTTGCATTATAAACAGGATTTGTCTTGGCACTCCAGCAACAAGCCAATTAATAGAGAATTCTAATTGAAGACATGCCAGGTGACAGTTGACTATGTTATTTCTACTAAAGTAGAATTCAGCTTTTAAACAACTGACTTTGGGGCCAGACAGCCCTGTGTTTGAATCTGACTCTTCTGTTTCCCATCTATGGGGTCCTGGGCAAGTTATTAAAGCTCTCAAAGATTCCTCTCCTCAGTGTAAAAAACTCCTCTGCTGGAATGCTGGATTCTCTTTCCAACGTTATCAGTGACTTGAGGTGCAAAGCTTGACTCTGCCTCAAAATCTGCTTTTGTAAAGAAGAGTAGGGACCACCAAAACAAACTAATAATATGAAATTATTAGGCCTGACAAGTCTGATGTATCTTAAATCTGGAGGATAACTGCTATAGAATTATTTAAAATGTTTAGGAAGAGGAAGGATGTCACGGGAAGGAAAGTTGGGAGGAACAGAAGAATTAAAAGGAGGCCTTCATAATATAGAAGCTAATTCCCTTCTTACATATTAAAAGAAAAGTTGCCTCTCTGAAAATACAGAGGTTTGTGAGCACCCCCATGAGGTGGATTATCGGAATGCCATCCCTGGTATTGCCTCAGTTACGGTAGAAATAAACCAGTTATTGGAAAAAAGAAATAGGATTTTAAAGAAAATGTTATATTCCAGTTGAGTTTTTTATTTCTCCTAGGAAATTCTAAATTATCCACATTAAAGTCCCTAAATATTTTTGTAATGTTTTAAATAACTTGGTTCAGTGCTATCAGTGCTTATTGCTTAATTCAGTAATTTGCGAAGTACTTCTGAGATCACCACAAAACTAAAAGTCTATGAGATTTCAATAGATGGCCAGACCGTAAGCATTTAGAGGAACAAAGTCAATTATTACTGTGGCATTCTTGGTACTCTATAATTAATAACTAGCAAAAATTTTTAATAGAAAAAATAAAAGTTCTTAATTTGTGTATTTTTCTGGCCTTATAGATTTAACACATAAATTACACAAAAAATAATCAGTTCTACCTTAAAGGAAGTTAGCAAATACGTTGTTATTAATGTTATACCATGAAACAATATTTAGTTACCTTTCTAATATATTTGCTTTAGATAACAATAAAATGAATTTATACACCTTGACCGCATGTGCAGGTTTCTCAGTACTTAATAGTGAAAGTGGAGGAAACAGCCCTGGCCCATCTGAAACTACTTGAGGGTCTACATATTAAGACTGTTGATTTTGGGAAAACAAAAACTCTTTAAATCATAGACTAACTGTGCATAACAAATGATACCACATTGAGGGTAAAGTTACTAAGTGTGTCAGAATATTCCAATTGTGCTAAAAATAAGGCCTCAGTTGTTACTGAAATTCAACTTTTATTTGAAACCATAGTGGATTGATAATATTTGGAAAATCATGCAATTAATCTACATCAACTTTCCTGGTAACATAAAAAGATTACACTGGGGGGGGGAATCTTTTTTTAAACAGCTTCAATTGTTGTATACAAAAAGCTATATTTATACATTATTCCATATTTAAAATTGGGCGGTAATCATTTCCCGAGATACCAAAAGTCAAGTCTTTGGCATGAACTACTGACGAATGATGAGAGATCAGCTTGAGATCAGTTTTCAAACCAATATAAACTCAGGTATGAAGGCTTAGTTTAGGTAACAGGTCATATGTATTTCCTAAACTGATCAGGATACTAATCCCTGAAAGCAAAAAAAAAAAAAAATTGACAGTGTTGGTAGGAAGAAATTGTGGTACAACTTGCTTCAAGCAAGTGCCACCCCATCCCCAACCCCCAAAATTCCCAAAATAGAGGTAGTATCTGTGCCACTGGAAAATAAGAATACAAACAAGTCACATCTCAGTAATCTTCATAAATGGGGGAGAGGGGAGGAGAAAAAAGATACATGGTTTCTACTGGTATTGGCCTCTTCAAAAAGAAATGGATCATTAAAAACTCTGCAAACTCCCAGAAAGGGAGTCACAGCTCAGGATTATCATGGAAGTTTTCATTTTGGAGCAATGGCTAGCCATCTTCAAAGCAGTCTAGACAGGGAGCAATGCAGGGCTCTGTAAATAGAACACTGACAGAAAGCATTACCTTCCTGCACTGTATGGGTTACACCCAAATAAGTTAATTCCTTTGGTATATCTTGCTTTGCCAGCATATTCACTGTAAAACATGTAACAGACACTTAAAATAGAAATCAAGATTATAGGCAATATTTTGGAAACCAGGTCTTCCTCAAGCTGTGGAAAAATCTGGGTGGCCCAGATTCCTTCCTTTCTTAAAATAAGATTGCTTTTCCTCCCACTCCAGAAAAGAGGTGGAAATGTTTACATGGATACATCTGATGTGTTGACACAGCTCTTAGCAATAAGTCCTTCAAAAGGGCGATCTTTTCCTTCAGGTTCTGCAACAAAGCTCTGATTGTCACGGTAAGCTGAAAAGAAAAGAACACATCCTAAGTATTCTAGTCCAGAGGTGCAGAATCTACTAAATTATATCGAAGAAGTGCTGTTTTACAGGCTATGATTCAATCAAGGAAGGGCTGGAAGAACTGCTTGCCCTCCTAATAAGGAACTCAGGGCTGTAAGGAGTGTGAACCGTGGCCTGGCCCCACCACCCACCTAAGGTTTCTACCCTCTCTATAACCTGGGCAAGTGGTGATCCAGGCCAGACTTGAACACCTACACTCACTGGAAACTGTCAGTTTGCAGTCACAATCAACTGAATTCTGTCCCCTGAGCTGCTATGCATTGATCCTATTTATCTGCCTTGGAGCCATGCAGGAAATTGTGTTCCCAAGTCTTCATTCAACAGCAAAAGCCCACAGTTCCCTCAGCCAGGCTTCAAATGACAAGGTGTCAAGTCCCACTGCTATCCCAACCAGTCTTTCTAAACACACTGGTGAAATTTATAACCCATTGAAATGTTTTACAGCAATGCGTTCTTTTTATACAAGAGAAATGTTAGCCACACGACTCATTTTCCAGGACCGTGTGCATTTTCTCCAATCATTCTAGAATCCCAGAGGAAATTTTTGTTTGTAACTCTAAAGTATTACATTAAAAAAGGAGGAGGGATGGAGAGAAAGTTTCTCAAGAATTTGAAAATGTGAAAAATAAAACTGCCCATTTAAGTTAAAACATATGCAACCATGGATGAAACCAGAGATATGAGGGGGGACCCAAGAAAATGGAATTATCTTTTGGAGGGTGGGCCCCTCGTAGTACAGGCTTCTCCACTAGGCAAGTGTTCTAGGAACCCATCGGCACCAGTGTATCAGCTAGCATTGTTGTGAGAGGCTGTGTTTGGCTTCAGTGAATTTTTTTTTTGGAGAGTCTTTCAACATATTTGCCCATTTCATGATGGGTGATTTACAAGCGCACCTGCCCACACTGTACTGAGTGTTCAGCAGTTTTTGACCAAAAATGTCATGATCATAATGCCCCACCCGCCCCATTCACCAGTCTCTGAGTGACGTTTTTTATTTTCCCAGATGAAAAAAATCCTCAAAGAAAAACGTTTTGCCGATGTGGAAGAGGGGAAACAAAAAATGGCAGCAGTAACAGGCATCAAAATCGACGAGTTCAAAAACTGTTCTGGGCAGTGGAAAAAGCATCTTGATAGGTGTAATGCATCAAATGGAGAGTACTTTGAAGGAGACTGAAGTTTAAACATGGAAGAATAAGTACACAATTTTTTATAAATAAATCTTGCAGTTTTTTGGTTCCCCCCTCTTCATATGTTAAAGATAGAACACCACAGGTTTCATTACTACTTTGTTAAAAGTAGCAATTATACAACGTGGGTGGAAGCAGATGCTCTCTCCTTAAATTAGTAGAATCACTCTAATGAAAAACAGAAGAACGCCAGAGACTGGCCAAAGGCTACACACATCAAGTGACTCCCCACCCCAATCATCAATGGCCAAGAAAAGTCTAACTTTATTCTAATACCTGTGGGAACCAAGAAAGAACCACCCACAATGTTTATGGGGAAACACGAAAGCAAGCAGATCTCTCCTCATTCAAAACTAAAGAGCAAAGCAAGCAAACAAAAACATAGCGTGCACGTGCACACACACGCGCGTGCACACACGATACACCCAGGTCTATAAAAACGCCACAAAATCAAATACCAAAAGCAATCAAGAGATGAAAGAGTATACAGCCATTAAAAATTATGACTCAATTCTCAATTTGTTTACACAGAAAGAAATCCATCACAATTTATTAAAAGAAAAAAGGTCAAGTCATAAAATAAAACATCACCCAAATAAAGAAAAAAACAATCCAGGAACTAAATATACCAAAATGCCTAGGATGATTATCTCTAAGTAGTGGAATTTCTTAATATTTTATAAGAAAATGATTACTTTTAGGCCAGGCTCAGTGGCTCAGCCTATAATTCCAGCACTTTGGGAGACTGTGGCAAGTGGACTGCCTGAGCCCGCGGGTTTGAGACCAGCCCATGCAACTTGGTGAAAACTCGTCTCTACAATAAATCAAAAATTAGCCGGGCGTGGTAGCGCATGCCTGTAGTTCCAGCTCCTTGGAAGGCTGAAGCGGAAGGATCGCGGGAGCCCAGCAGGTTGACACTGGGGTGGCTGTGAGTGTGCCACTGCACTCCAGCCTGGGCGACAGAGTGAGACTCCAACTCAAAAAAAAAAAAGGAAAACGATTACTTTTATAATCAGAAAAATGATCCATTATCATAATTAAACAGAAGCTTTCAAAAGCACAGAAAAGGATGGAAAGCCTAATATATATTTCAGGCTAACATAACCCTGGTGACAAGCACTGACAGAGATACCCACATGCTAATCTCTCTTAAAGATTATAAATGTAAAAATCTTTAAAAAAAATATGAGCCAAGCAAATTCAGAATTACATGAAAAAGAACAATATATGATAACCAAGTAGAATTTATTTTAGTAATTTTAGAACAGTTTGATGTTAGAAAAATCTAATAATAAAACTCATGATGTTAATTATTAAAACAGATAAACACATGATTAATACAGAATGGGGGAAATTAAAATAAAAATTAAAAAAAGAAAAACTAAGAACAGAACACTAATATTTTAAAGGCAATATTAACTTTGGTCTAGATGTTCTAACCAATTTAGTAAAACAAATTAAAGAAATACATAAGGACTGGAAAGGAGGAGATTAAGTTATCATTATTTGCAAATTGATAATAGTATACTTGGAAAAGTTAAGAGAATCAACAGAATGATAATTAGAAACAGTAACAGAATTCTATATGGTGATGATTCATAAAATGAAAAAAGCAAGGGCATTTCTAAATACAAGTAATATCTAGAGAAAATTATTTAAATTGTTATGTTTAAACTTCATTGACAATACCAACAAAACCTTAAAAATGTCTAACATAGTGCCTGGCACATGGTATGCAGTAAATATTGCAGAAGGAATAAATAAAAAGAGACATTCAATAATGTAAAATTTAAGTTTTCTACACTTTATTTCTTGTTGTTTTTTTTTTTTTTAGAGATAGTGTCTCATTCTGTCACCCAGGCTGTAATGCAGTGGTACAATCATAGCTCACTGTATGTACCCTTGAACTCCTGGGCACAAGCAATCCTCCCACCTTAGCCTCCTGAGTAGCTAGGATCACAGGTGCATACTACCAAGCCCAGTTAATTTTTTAACTTTTTGTAGAGAGGGGTCTTGCTGTGTTGCCTAGGCTGGTCTCAAACTCCTGGGCTCAAGCGATCCTCTAAACTCAGCCTCCCAAAGCACTGGTATTAAACATGTGAGCTATCATGCCTGGCCAATTTTCCCCAATTTAATTTCTAAATGTACTACATGTCTATTCAAAATCTCATTTGGAATTGTTTTATTGCAGAGGAGGTAATAATTGAGGCACAGGACCAAGTTTTTTTTTTTTTTTTTAATAAAGTTTCACAAAATTACTCTAAAAGAAGGATAAATGGAGGAAAATTTTTTAAAATCCCGAATATGTATAATATAGGAGGCCTTAAACAATTAGAAAAGACATCGTCATAAAAAACTACAATAGTATGATGCCAGCATTTTCAACAGATTCAATAGTACAATACAATAGATGGCCTAGAAACAGTGCAGTTGTATAAAAATTCAGTGAATGAAATCTGACGTATTTCTTGTCTTAGGAAGAGGAAATGAACAACTGAACAAATGGAAAAGAACAAAATTAGATACCTACAACACACCAAATGAAACTTCAAATATTTCAAAGATTTACGCACACGCATATGCACACACACACAACACAAAACAACAGAAAAAAAAGTTTACAGAAAATTTAGAGAATTAAGTAAAATATTTATATAATCTCTGGGTGTAAAAGACTTTTCTAAGCATGGCATCCCCTTCCCTGTAAGAAAAGACCACAAATAAAAATACTGATAACTTCCAATAAAATTTAAAAACAAGTACATATGTTAACGTCACTTACAAAATTAAAAGCCAAATTAATAGAAAAAATATTTGTACTAAATATGCTAGATCAAAGCTTAATATAGTTAATATATATAAGAAATAATAAGATTAGGCCAAGGACGTTATGCAGGCAATTCAGAAAGAAAGAAACACAAATATGCAATAAATATATGAAAAGATATTCAAGATATAAGTAACCAAAATGACACTACTGTAACATATTTCTACTTAAGAAAGTGAGAAATATTTTTAAAAGATCATTAATTGGTATAGAAATGTAATTCTGCAATATGCATATTCAAAAGGCTTAAAATTTTATGTAACCCAAATCTAGAAAGTCTATGTTGAGGAATTTATTTTAACATGAGTAATAATTTAACCACACTGAAAAATCATTTATAATAAGAAGCAATCAAGCTGTCCAAGAAAACGACACTGGTTAAGTAGATAACAGCTCTGAATGTAAAAGAAAATATTAAACCACATATTTACTAAAGAAGACAGCAATAAATTACTTTATAATGTGGAAATAGCAAAAACTTAGATATGGCAACATATACAGAGGCAATTCAACTCCATTAAATTCACAAAAAATGAAAAACTTCATTAAAATGTATAAAAAATACCACAAGCAAAGTCAAACGTCAAATGATAATGGAAAAGAAGTAACTATAATTTATCACAAGGAGCTAATCTCCCTAATATACAAGAAGCTCTTAAAGATCAAGACCAATAATCCAATAGAAAAATGGGCAAAAGACAGAAAAAAATAAACAGCTCTTAAGCATAGAAAAAAATATTCCACTTGACTCATCAGATAACACATATAAATCTAAAACTACACCGCATTATCACTGCTCACCTATCAGACTGACAAAAATTCAGAAGACTGACCACACCTTCTGCTGGCCAGGCTATGAAGAAGCAGAAGCTCTCACGCATTGTTTGCAAGGGTGCCAAGGTGACAACCCCATGAAGGGGAATTTGGCAGCAGGTAAAAAAATTACATATGCCCCGGTTCTCTGGTTCACCCCTTTTTTTTTCTTTCTTTTTTTTTTTTTCTCCTGAGTTGGAGTCTCACTCTGTCGCCCAGGCTGGAGTGCAGTGGTATACTCACAGCTACCCCAGTGTCAACCTGCTGGGCTCAGGTGATCCTTCCGCCTCAGCCCTGCAAGTAGCTGGAACTATAGGCGAATGTTGCCATGCCCAGCTCATTTTTTATTTATTGTATAGGCGAGGTCTCACCAAGTTGCCTTGGGCTGGTCTTGAACCCGCGGGCTCAGGCAATCCACTTGCCTCAGTCTCCCAAAGTGCTGAGATTACAGGCTGAGTCACCAAGCCTGGCCGAGAACTCACCCTTAAAAGACATCTCCACAGATATTTTATTTTAAAGCACAAGGTTATTTACTATAGCATTATTTATAAGAGCAAAAGACTGGAAGCAATCTAATTGTCCATCCTTAGAAGACAGGTTAAAGGAACTATGTTACATCCACAAAATAGAGTACTTGGAGTACTACACAGCTCTAAAGAAGAACAAAGGAGGTCTCTATAAATTAATATGGAGAGATTTCTATAGTAAATTATTAAGTGGAAAGAGCAAGATACAAAAGAGAATCTTTTGGATAAAAGGAAGATAAGAACACACACAGGTTTATTTCTGCAAAAAGTAAAAGAGGAAGAATAAACCAGAAATTAATAAAAATGGTTACTTAAAAGAAGTAGGTTAAGAAGAAGTGGAAAAGAAAGGAATGAGAACAAGGCTTTAAGTGTACCTTTTTATATAATTTTGGCTTTTGAACACTAAAGGATAGGGAAAAAGCAAACCCTAAAAATGAGTAAAACCAGAAACAAACGACAGCATAAGACAGAAAAAAAGAAAAGAATCAATTCTAATAACTTTGGAACAGAATAACCTCAGTACTCTTAATGGAATTTCTAAGCTTGAAAAAAAAGGATGGCTGGGCACAATGGCTCAAGTCTGTAATTCCAGCACTTTGGGAGGCTGAGGTAAGAGGATTGCCTGAGCCCACAGGTTCAAGACCAGCCTGGGCAACATGGTGAGACCTCATTTCTACAATAAATCAAAAAAATAGCCAGACATGGTAGCGGATGCCTATAAGTTCCGGCTACTTGGAAGACTGAGGCGGAAGGATCACCTGAGCCCAGCAGGTCGAGGCTGCAGTGGCCGGGAGCGTGCCACCTGCACTCCAGTCTGGGTGACAGAGTGAGACTCCAACTCAAAAAAAAAAAAAAAAAAAAAAAGACACAAATATTGGACTTCACTTAGTGTTTGTAGTGGTACCTGTGTAGTAATTCTAAAACTATTTTCTGTAAACTATAAAATAAACCAAAAGAGTAATTGATTTTGAAACTGATGCTTTTGGAAACCAGGGTTCTCACTGTGGGAAGAAGAAATAAAATTGGGATGGAGAAGGGAAGAAACCTTTGTTGTTGGATTTGAATTGAAGGCATTCATATGAACTTCTGATTTCATAAAATATAGTTCCCAGCCAAATCCCACTGCTGTTTTTGTATAGCCTACAATTAAATATGGTTTTTGCATTTTAAGTATAAAATGTAAAAATAACTAACATCTTTTTGACAAGAATGGATACTTAAAGAGTTGAGGATACTGTCTCTTGGCCTGCAAAGTCTAGATTTAGTCTCTGGAGGAAGTTTACTAACCCTTGAACTAGACTATAAAATTGTTAGAAATATTTAAGGTAAAAGAAGAGAAATTAAATATGTGTTATGTGCTTCATTTAGTCTCAATGATTAAACAACCATTAACTGGCTGGTTGTAAAGTCAATTCAACATATATAAGCAGATAAGCCATTATACACATACACGCATACAGAGCCTCAGTCATAAGACCTCAAAGCTCAAACAAATTATCTTATGTACTAATTCTCTCCTGGTATTACCTTAGGTGTCTTTTCACCTTTTCTTTCATACTGATTTCGTTGTTGAATTTTCTCAGCAATCTCTTGGGCAATTTGACATGTAGAATCGTATGTGGAGAACCTGCATCAAAGTCATAAAAAGAGAAAAATATTTAAGGTTCTTTCAAAGAAATCTCTGCATTGCCTAAGGTTGAGTTATTCATTCTAGTCACAAAATTCAAACAGGAAAGGAGGATAATACCAGTACCAGTCATAGTAGCATAGATTGAAGAGTACTTACTACTTACTATGTGTCAGACCCTATTCTGGTAATAACTCACTTATAATCGACACAAGGACACTGTGAAGTGGGTACCATTACTATCCCCAACTCATACATGAGAAAATGAGACACAAAGAGGTAGAATGACTTGCCCAAGTGGTACCAGCTGCAGACCAAGGCTGTCTGGCCCCAGAGCCTAGACTCTTAACCACTTTGCTACTCTGCAAATGATGACTCAAACAAATAAAATAAAATAAAATAAAATAAAATGGCAGAGATGAGTAGAAGCTAGTTTCTGTGCCAGTCTAACAGGATTAGACTTACAGGGAAATTTCAGAGCCATAGAGGATACTTTTACACATAAAGAGAGGCCTTGACAAAGTTATGGGGAATGCTGAAGGTCAGACAGCTAGGACAGACTCCCAGATATCTTGCCCCCAATCTTTGCGTTCTCATTTTAGCCCTAAAGAACAGTGGTTCTGAAATTGCTACACATTGGAATCACTGGAGAATCTTTAAAATAAATAAATAAATGATGATGCTGTTGCTGATGCCTGGTCCCACCTCCAGCATTCTGATTAAACTGGTATGGAGTTTGCCCTGGGTGTGGGAGTTTTGAAAGCTCCCCAGGTGATTCCAATTTGGGGCAAAGTTTGGAAAACAGTGGCCTAGAGGTAATGGACAACCTCACTGTGGCATCAACTACACAGGTGCCTAAAGTAAGAGTTTAGAAAAATTAACCTGAATTCTAGTTACATAAATATTCATGAGAAAGTAGTGTCAGGAGACCAGTCGAAAACTTCTCCAACAGCTCAGTCCCATAAAAAGTTGCCAGTACTTAACTATCTGCCAGTATTTAATTATCAGACTATAAAGGGGTGGACTATGATGGAAACAGACAACATAAAAGCGATATCAGAGGTGTTCAAAAGAAAAAAATTAGCAGAGACTAGTGAATAATCTGATATGAGGAGTGAGAAGAAGTGAATGATTTGAGTTTTCAGGCCCAAGTGGTTACACAGATGGTGATGCCACAACAGGCTGAGGAACTGAAAAGGGAAGAATAAAAGAAGTTTCCAAACTAAGAACTGGGCCTCTTTTCCATCAGAAAAACATTGACTATCTAGTAAAATTAATATATATCTAAGATTCACTTTAAAGTACACCCAGAAAAGAAAAAACAAAGTGTAGAGGGCAGAAACGAAACAAGAATGGCAGAATATTGATAATTACAGAAACTGGGTAGTTAGTATAAAGGTGCCCATTATACTATTCTACTTTGTGTATCTTTTTCCCTCCATAATAAAGTTTTTAAAAAGTAAGCATACAAAAAGAGAAGACCATGCTGCCAACATAAAAAGTCCAACAAGACCATGAAACTATTACAGTTTAATTATAATTTTTCTGGAAATAGTATATCATCAATAAGTAAGTTGCCCTGGTGGTAAAGCTAATGAACTTTAGCAAAGAACCAGTTCAAAGACAGTAATCACTTGCTACTTCTATTAAACAGTGAGTTTACCGCTTGCTGTGACAGTCCATTAAAATAGTAACTGCTCTATTCCATTCCTAAACATTAGGACACCATCCAGGAGAGATGCATCAGTGACCTGTGATGTTCAGCAGTACAAAGGCAAAGCTGTAGTCAAATATTTTGTTTTTGTTTTGTTTTGTTTTTTGAGACAGGGTCTCATTCTGTCGCCTAGGTTGGAGTGCAGTGGCATGATCCTGGCTCACCGCAGCTTCAATCTCCTGTGCTCAAGGTATCCTCCCTCCTTAGCCTCCCAAGTAGCTGGGATTATGGGCAGGCATCACCATACCTAGCTAATTTTTGTATTTTTTGTAGAGATGAGGTCTCACTATGTTGCCCAGGCTAGTCTCAAGCTTCTGGGCTCGAGCAATCCTTCTGCCTCGGCCTCCCAAAGTACCAGGATTCAGACATGAGTCACTGCAGCCAGCCTCAAATCTGTTTTTTATAAGTTTTTCAAAGTCCCATTCCATACTCCTTTCTACCTTTCTAATCAGCAACTCACTTTGTAAGGTAGCTGGCAAGAACACAGCAAAGTCCCCACTGTTTCAAGTGGCTAATAAGAAAGCCACTTAGTCACACTAATTGAGAGTAACAGGAAAAAGCTTTGTAAATTTAACTGTGGAAGAGGCTTGGGGTCCAGTGATAGCTTTCGCCAGTCTACATGGATAAAAGGGATGGGGAAATTCTGCCTTGTCTCTGAGCTGTATTTCCTACTTTATGTGCAAACTGAGGGAGTTAGGTTCCAGAAGGTGGAGCACAACTTAGGAATATGTATCAAGGGCCTTAAAAATGTTCACACCTTCTCTAATTTACTTTCTAAATAAACTGTATTTTCTTTTTTTTGAGGTGGAGTCTCACTGTCCCCCAGACTGGAGTGCAGTGGCCACTCCTGGCCACCGCAGCCTCGACCTTCTGGGCTCTGGCGATCCTTCCACCTCAGCCTTCCAAGTAGCTGGAACTACAGGCGCGTGCTACCACGCCCAGCTAATTTTTTGATTTATTGGAGAGATGAGGCCTCCTCCACCCAGGCGGGTCTCGAACCTGCGGGCTCAGGCAATCCACTCACCTCAGCCTCCCAAAGGCGCGGGATTACAGGCTGAGCCACCGAGCCCAGCTTAAACTATATTTTCTAATCTAAAAAAAAAAAATGTTCACACCGTTGAACCCAACAGTTCTACTTCTAGGAAAAGAGCCCAAAGAAATGAAAGATGGAACAAAGGGACTGCCTTTGTGAAAGTAAACAACAACAAAATACACAAAAAACTAACATAGGAGGAAAAAAATAAAGTATGATCATTCATATGATGCAGTATTATGCAACATTAGAAAATTATGTTTTGAAAGAATATTCAATGACATGGAAAAATGCTCCATTTTGTAAAACAAATAAAACCCACACATATATACACAGGTCAAAGTAATACATTCATTGTAAAAAAAAAAAATCAATAATAGCTATTTCCAAATGATAGAGTTAAAGATACCATTTATTTTCTTCTCTGCAAATATTCAATATCCTCTAATTTTTCTATTAAAAGGTGTATTCAACTGTTCAAATTAGGTGAAATTAAGAAAATTTTAACATTAAGTTAAGCAACTGGCCCAAATAATCTACAATCCAAGTAACTCTAACTTTGATCTTGGAATCTATTCTCCTAATACCCAGGCTGTCTGCAACTATATTAGAAATACCAACATAAGACATATACTCCGACAAGAACTTTATAGAACTTAATAAGTTGTGTTTTTTTAGACAGTAGGATTTATTAGGAAGACAGAAACGCTCCCAAAGTGGGAGGGACCTGAAAGATGTTGCCCCATTTCTAATTACTAAACAGAAAGGTCAATTCTGTTATGTTACAGCAATATGCTCCTTGGGATCAGAAGTTGTATCTTTCATCCTTCGGTCCTTGTGATTTAATTATTGAATAAATGACCCTTTTCAGCTATAGTTTTACTGCAGAAGTTGCTGCTGAACGAACAGTCTTCATTATATCAACTCAGGAAAGGGTAAAATGCCTTATAAACAAGTGCCTACTTTCCCTCCCAAATTCCTAAAGTGTTAGGAAGGGCCCACAGAGAGCTAGGTCTGAGTCCTAGTTGGTTACTAACTGACCGGTGACCATGAATTCTGAACCTCAGTTTCTCCATCTGTGAAATAAGGGTGTTTACCGGATGAAGTGACGTTCCACAAAAAGGTTATTTCTACTTCACTTTTACAGAAGTCCAAAGAAGCCTGTACGAGCCAGCTCCACAACCTGGATGCGCGGGAAATTCCCGCGGCGAGATGCAGCCCAGAAGGGCTAGAAAGAATACGCAGAGATTTGGCTCAAGTTTTCAATTGCCCAGGGTAACCCGGTCTCCTTCCCGGGCCATCCCTGCAATGACCAAGGGTGGCGGGTTGTGGCTGAGTCCCTCTCAGCAGAGAAGGGGTCTCGCCGCCCCTCCCCTCATCCCGAAAGTCTCCAGCGGCAATGCTAAGTGAGCCCCCGCTCCCCGGAAGCCCGGCCTCCCCGAAGGTCCCTGCGCTCACCGCCGCCCTCACCCGGGCTCACCAGGGGTCCGGTGCCATCGTGCCGACTCCGCCCGCAGCTCGGACACTTCCTGCTCGCACCAGCTGACTACGGCGGCCCGCGCGGCTCACTCCCGGCAGTTTGGCCCGTACGCAACCGGAGTCTGAAGTTCGCAAAAATGAGTAACAGAGGAGGGGCCTCAGCTCTATGACAGAGAAAGGAAAGTACTCCACCGGGGGGGACAAAAGGTTGGAGCAATCTGCTCCCACTAAGGCACGCGAACTTCTGGGCGCAATTAAAATAAAATTGTTGTTGAACAGAATCTCAGTATTTTTCCCAGAAAGGTAGGAGTGCTGCAAGCCTCCAGCAGTTATTTAAAATTTTATCCTGCTTCAAAAAACAAAACAGCAAACGAAAACTGGACTGAGGTTGTAGTTACATACTGTATGAACTTACTAAAACCCACTTTAAGTGACATTTATGATATGTAAATTATACCTCAATAAAGCTTTCTAAAAATCTCTTAAAATGTTCTGCGAAGTATCAATTATATATTCTTTTATAGCAGCCTTCCCATTCGTCCTCTATGTTTGACTACGTATTTTGAAAATGCAATTCATTGAGCGCATTACAGTTACCCAAAAAGTCACAGACTCTTTACAAGAGGGGATGGAGGAATTGGTTCTCTGCATTTGGGCCAGCCCCTAAATTTCCAGAGAAATAGCAAAAATAATCCCTCCCTTCATTTGCATGAGGGCAAATGAACTCGATCTCCGGTGGCAGGGTTTCCGCGCGGGCGTCAGTCTGGGGCGCATGCGCGCGTCCGTTACCATAACGACCAGGAAACGCTGCATCCACTGTGGCTGAGACTACAGTGAGTGGAATCTCCCAGCGATGGATAACGAAATTTCGCCGGAGGCCCGGGTGGCAGAGTTGGAACTTGACGCCGTGATCGGCTTCAATGGTGAGGCCTCGGGCATCTCTGGGCTGACTGGTTTAGGAACCCCGAGGACGTGTAGTGCAAATAGGGACAGTGGGAGACCGGGTGGCACCTGAAAGGCAGCGTGGGACAAAGGCAAGCGTGCTGGCCAGGGCTAAGCCCGGGAGGAGATGGGGAGAGGAAGAAGGGGGTACGGGGAACGGGAGACAGGCGAGAGCACAGCCTCTTCCTCCCCAGAGCCTTGGAGAGTCACATCCTTGCTCCGAGCTTGGGGAAGTGGAATGGTTTTTACCAGCTTAGACAAGTGTCAGTTCCTAAAAGGGACCAAATGCCTCCTCACCGTGCTGGATGGATGAGTATGGGGTGACTGTAATCTTTCTCCCACCAGGTCAGGTCTCCCTTGCCCTGAGCCCCACGCACCCTGCAAAGCCTTCGGCCCCTCTGTAACCACTGGATACTGTCTATGTCGACCCCGGGACCATCTTCTAAAATCTCAGCTGTTGTAAATAATAAGAAAGGCGGGGAAGGAAACTTGTGTTTAGGCAACCGCTTTAGAAGATAAATCTTGGTTATCTCATCCGAAGGAACGATTTTTGTTGTTTGTTTTGAATTAAGAAAGGCTGATTTATCACAGGGAATATACGTTGTAAATGGTACAACAAGCAGGACAGCAGCAAGAGTGTCTGATGTCTGCTGTCTGTCCGAAGGAAAGATTCTAAACGGTGAGGATTTCGGACCAGATCAGAAGGAGAGGGGGATACCAGAGGGAACTGAAGGAGAGAGGCATTTTGATCAGAGGAGTGTCCTTATTCGCTCTGCTCAAATCTTGTGACTGTCTATTGTTTTGAACATTAAGGAGGGTGGGGGAGATGTGGTTTTTTTATTTTTTGTTTTAAGGGATGAGAAAAAGTAATGAATTAAATTTTAGGAAAAGCAAACCTTATTGAAAAGTGTGTTGTGATGCCTGAAAGCTTTATAATTGTAATGACGTAAATGCAGAGTAATCACTGACTGAAGTTTTAGGCACATTCTAGGACTTAGCTCTTGACTCTTCGTTTAACCTTAACAGTCTCTGATAGAAAGTGAGCACTTTGTATATCTGGGATACCTGCCACCTTGAGAGCTGGTTACAGGATCATTGGTAAAAGAAATGAACAGCCTACAGTGAGTTGGAAAGGCTCACTGTTGAACCAATGTAGTGCCACACAGAGTTCTGCAACTGAAGTCATGCGTTTTGTAGAGTTTTACGTGCAAATATATGGTAAATTATATCCCAGTATCTTCCATGGCAGTTACTAATTATCTTTGCCTTTTAGAATGGCCCAAATTGATCAAATTGTTTATACACGTGGGTTGTGGTGATGTTCTACTTAATCTAGGCTATAATTAAATGGGTGTGTTTACTTGGTAAAAAGTTATTGAGTTTTCTATATTTTATCTTCGATGAAAAATGTTTGCTTAAAAAGCCTATACAAGCTCTCAGAAAAGAGGATAGGCAAAACGTTATGAAAGTTTGGGAGAAAAGATTCTATTCTTTGGCTTGAAAAGGAAGGATAGACCTCTTTAAATTCAAGTAGTCTTGAAAACTCAGAAACTGGGCGTGGTGGCTCAAGTTTATAATCCCAGCACTTTGGGAGGCAGAGGCGAGAGGTTTGCCTGAGCCTGTGGGTTTGAGACCAGCCTGGGCAACGTGGTGAGAACTGTCTCTACAATAAATCAAAAATTAGCTGGTTGTGGTTGCATGAGCCTGTAGTTCCAGCTATTTGGAGGGCTGAGGCGGGAGGATCACCTGTCAGTGAATGGCAGAACAACACAGGAGACTGGAATTAGATTTCAGAGGCCTTAAATACCAGGTAATGGAGCTTAAATTTCACATGGAAACAAAAGCAGCAAAACCAAGGCCCCTTTTATCATTATGACACTAGAACTCACTGCAGTTTTACATTATTAACCTTGAATTTTGATCTAAAGGTATCAATATGTAAGTGAACATGACACTTCTAGATATTGTATTTTGACAGGCATTACTTAAGCAAACCAAATTAGTTGTGTTGACTATGAAAACATTTTATAAAACTATAACTATTAAGAAATTGGTCTTGTTCATTAATTGGAATAAATAACCCATGGTTTTCCTATTTATGCAAAGAGGGTTTTATCAGTTAAAAATAGCTACAACAACAAAATAGACCAGGAGTCTGCAAACTAGCCAGTGGGCCAAATTTGGCCCGTTGCTGCTGCTGTTGTTGTTGTTGTTGTTGTTTTGAGTCAAAGACTCACTCCGTTGCCCAGGCTGGAGAGCAGTTGCATGCTCATGGCATCAACCCGCTGGGCCCCGGCAATCCTTCCGCCTCAGTCTTCCAAGTAGCCGGAACTACAGGCAAGCGCTACCACGCCCGATTTAGTTTTTGATTTATTGTAGAGACAAGGTCTCGCCAAGTTGCCCAGGCGGGTCTCAAATTCTTGGGGTCAGGCAATCCTCTCACCTCGGCCCTCCCAAAGTACTGGGATTACATTCTTCTCAGACCTAGAAAAAACAATACAGGAATTCATATGAAAACACAAACGACCAAGAATAACCAGAACAATCCTCAGCAAAAAAAAAAAAAAAAGCAGGAGATATCACATTACCAGACTTCAAACTTTACTATAAAGCTACAATAATCAAAACAGCTTGGTATTGGTACAGTAACAGGCATATAGACCAATGGAATAAAATTGAGATTCCAGAAGTATAACTTCAATTTCTAAACCAACTCATCTTCGACAAAGCTTCCACCACCTACCACTGGGGAGAGGATAGCCTATTCAGTAAGTGGTGCTGGGAAAACTGGCTGACCACATGCAGAAGATTCAAACAAGATCCCTATCTATCTCCATACACAAAAATTAACTCTAAATGGATCAGAGACCTAAATGTAAAATCTCAAACCATAAGAACTTTAGAAAATGCAGGACACACCCTTATGGAAATTGGAACTGGCATCCAATTCCTGAACAAAACCCGAAATAAGAGATAAGATAGACAAGTGAGACCTCATTAAACCGACAAACTTCTGCAAAGCCAAAGAAACCATCAAGAGAGCAGGGAGACAGCCCACAGACTGGGAAAAAGTATTTGCCAACTCCACATCTGACAAAGGCCTAACATCTTGGATCTACAAGGAACTCAAATGTACTGAAAAGAAAAAAACAAACAACCCCATTACAAAGTGAGCCAAAGATATGAACAGACACTTTTCAAAAGAAGACATATGAGCAGAAGAAAGTGTTCACATGAAGAAATGTTCAACCTCACTAATCATCAAGGAAAGGCAAATTAAAACTACCCTGAGATACCACCTAACTCCAGTCAAAATGGTTATTATCAATAACTCAAAAAACAGATGCTAGAGAAGATGTGGTGAAAAGAGAACACTTCTACACTGTTGGTGGGAGTGTAAACTAGTGCAGCCTCTGTGGAAATCAGTGTGGCGATTCCTAAAAGCTCTAAAAATTGACCTTCCATATGACCCCACAATTCCCCTACTGGGAATATACCCTGAAGAACTCAAATCACTCTATGAAAAAGATACCTGCACAAGTATGTTTATCACAGCATTGTTCACAATAGCAAGATCATGGAACCAACCATGCTGTCCATCAAAAGAGGACTGAATTTTTAAAATATGATACATATACACAATGGAATATTACACAGCCACAAAAAAGAACAAAATCATGAATTTCGCAGCAACCTGGATGGAATTGGAGTTTATAACACTGAGTGATCTCTCACAGAAACAGAGATCTGAGTATCACATGTTCTCACTCATAAGTGGATCTTGAACAACTATCGTAATCGTAATACTATAAGAAAAGGATTGACAGTGGTGGGAAACTATGGGGGAGCAGGAAGGGGAAGGGAGGTAGGATTAACGGTAGTCGATATCTATCTGGGGACGGGGTGGCATATCTTATCAACAAGGATACCCACACCATGCATATTTGTATACCTAACCCTTAACTGTATGCCACAATTTTAAAATTAAAAATATGTTTAAAAAAATCCAAGAATAAATTTAATAAGAAACGTGTGAGATCTTCGTGAAGAAAAATTGAAACTGCTACTGGAAGACATAAATGGAGACTCATGAAGAGGCATACCCACGTTTTAGGTAGGAGATATATTATGAAAATTATTTTTCCTTAAATTAATCTCTACATTCAATACCATCTCACTAAAAATACAAACATGATTTTTAACTAGTCAAGTTGATGTTA